CCCCGGCGACCGTCAGTTCGTTGAGGATCTCCTGGATCTCCTGGGCGACGGAACCCGTGATGATGCGCCAGGGCTCGGCGAGCCGCAGGGCGGTGTCGGCGGCGTCCCACTCGTTGCGGAGCGGGCAGAGCGGACACGGTGCACACCGGTGGGCGGCGTATTCGATCTCGCACTCGGGACACCAGTTGATGGCGTCGGGTTTGGTGGTTGTCATTGTGATAGACTCCATTTGCTCTTTAGGGTTGCGCCGCCACGGGACTTCCCCTCCCACGGCGGCGCTGTTCGTTGTGTTTACCGCTGGTCAACGACCGAGATCGTGTAGTGGCGGGAGTGGACCTCGAAGCAGCCAAGGGAGATGCACTTGCCGCACTTGCTGCACCAGACGGCCCGCCTGTCGCTGCACATGTGCCTGGCGTCCGCGGAGTCGTAGGGTTTACCCCACCCTGTCATGGCCAAAAAAACCTCCAACTGTTGGTTGGAGGTTAGGCTAGCATAGACGTTACAGGTATGTCAAGACGTGACAGAACCTTTTGGACCCGATTTCCGCGGGTTATCTCGGCAATAGAGAATCTCGGCCTCTACGGTGACGATGTAACCACCGCCAGGCGAACGCGCGCGCATGCGACCACGCCTAGGCAATTTTCCTCGCTGGACCCATATGCGCAGCGTATCTACCCGGATCCCGTACTTCTTGCTGGCGCTGGGCAGGTCGATCAGGCCCTCAGGCAGTTCGCCGCGTTCGTAGATGATGTTGTCCGGATCGGTCGGATGAACGCCGTTGGTGGAGTGCTGTATTTCAGTCGCGGCGGTGATCATGCTGGCCATTTCGGCTGGGGACAGTCCGTCCTCGCGGGCCCGCTCGACGGCGGCCCGGAAAGCTTCGCGCTTAGGATCGTTGCCGTAGGTTAGCATATCGATTCGCGGTTTGTCCCAGCAGGATGAAACTGACGTCGTATGATCTAGGCGGATTTGGAACGATAACTACCGCACTGCAAATGCGGGTACGACGATTCCTGTCCGATTGCGTCCCATCCGGCGGGATTAGCAGGAAAGCTGCACGCCGGGCAGGACAATGGACGGTCACACGAGTTGGCTGGACTCAATTCCTACTCAAATCTCCATCGTTAAAACGGATGGCGGAGAGGGCGGGATTCGAACCCGCGATACCCTGGAAGGGTATACCGGTTTTCGAGACCGGCGCCTTCAACCACTCGGCCACCTCTCCGCATTGTAGCCGTTAGTAATCCCGAAACCCGCTGCGCGTAACGGGTTGCATGTTCACCACCGACTTACGATTAACGGTTATTGTACCACTGCACTCCTTGCATCCTGACCCGGCGGCGCATCCGGTTGCCAGTATCGCCGCCGTCTGGCAGAATGATGAGGCACGATTGAGAACGCATCGTCATCGACTTGACGGTGTGATCAGTCTGAGCGTGGTGTGTCAGAATGCCACCGTCGGGCTGTGAGCCGGGGAACGACACGCCTCGGCGCTGTGATCGACATAGAGTACAATCAACCGAGCAGGTCGTCGGACACACGACGCATCTCGCCAATTGATGGAGGTACCGCCCCGTGGCGTTTGTCAAAGGATTGAAATGCCGGGAGTGCGGCCGGGAATATCCGGGCGAACCCCTCAACGTTTGCGATTTCTGTTTCGGCCCGCTGGAAGTCATCTACGACTACGTGACCATTTCAGAGGTCATCAACCACCAGCGCATTAAGGACGGCCCCGCTCAGCATCTGGCGCTACGAGGACCTCCTGCCCGCCCAGGCGGATGACCCGGTTGACATCATGGCCGGCTTCACTCCGCTGCTCAAGGCGAAAAACCTGGGCAAGCGGCTCGGCCTCAACAACCTGTACATCAAGAATGATAGCGTCAACCCGTCGTTCTCCTTCAAAGACCGCGTTGTGTCGGTGGCTGCCACCAAAGCCGTTGAGTTCGGTTACGACACGCTGGCCTGCGCCAGCACCGGCAACCTGGCCTGCAGCGTTGCCGCCCACGCCGCCCGCGCCGGCATCGACGCAGTGGTGTTCATCCCCGCCGACCTGGAACGTGGCAAGGTCATCGGCGCCGCTGTTTACAACCCGATACTGGTCGCCGTGGAAGGAACCTACGACGAGGTAAACCGGCTGTGCAGCGAGGTCAGCGACAACTATCCCTGGGCCTTCGTCAACATCAATATGCGGCCCTATTACGCCGAGGGCAGCAAAACCCTGGGCTACGAGGTGGCCGAGCAACTCGGCTGGCGTCTGCCCGACCACGTGGTCATTCCGTCAGCGTCGGGCGCAATGTTCACCAAAATCTGGAAAGGATTCAACGAACTGGCTTGCCTCGGACTGCTGGACGGCGTGGCTCCGCTACCATTCGGCGCCGACCAGAACACCGTGCATCACCCGGCGGTACATACCCGGATGCACATGGCACAGGCTGCCGGCTGCTGCCCCATCGTAACCGCCTGGGAGCATAACCAGAACCAGATTCGCCCCGTGCGTCCCGACAGCATCGCCAAGTCGCTGGCCATCGGCAATCCGGCGGATGGCATTTACTCCCTGCGCGTCATTCGCGAATCGAACGGCAGCGGCTATGCGGTGCCTGAAAATCGGGTTGTGGAAGGGATCAAGCTGCTGGCCGAAACCGAAGGCATTTTCACCGAAACGGCTGGCGGGGTTACCATCTCCGCGCTGAAGTATCTGGCCGAATCCGGAGCCATCGGGGCCGACGAACTCACCGTCGCCTACATCACCGGCAACGGCCTCAAGACACAGGAAGCCGTAGAGCACGTCGTGAATCCCCTCATGATAAAACCAATGATGGGTTCATTTGAAGCGGCGTTGGAAAGCCGGTGGCGGCGCAGGCCTAATGGCTGTTGCTTCCCTGGTTTTGCGACCTGCCAAGTAATCCGAGACAAGCAATGGCGAAGCAGCGGGTACGGTTCACTTTTTCGGGCGAGTTGGTGCGAGAGCCGATTATCTATCGGCTCGGACTGGACTTTGACGTGATAACCAACATCCGCCGGGCCGACGTGCGCGCTGATGTCGGTTGGGTAGTCCTTGAACTAGACGGCCACGAGGATGACATCCAGCGCGGTTTGGATTGGGTCGGCTCGACGGGTGTCCGGGTGGACCCCATCGCCGGCGACGTAATTGAAGGCTGATACCGGAGAGCCGGGCATCCAGGATTTCCGGTTGCCGGGTTTAATGAAACAACAGGAGGAGATTCCCTGATGGGCGTAACGGTTCGCATCCCCACACCCCTGCGGCGCATGACTGGCGGGGCCAACAAGGTTGAGCTGGAAGTGGCCGACCTTTCCCAGATGATTGACCGGCTGGAATCCGATTACCCGGGTTTCAAGGAAAGGTTGATAGACGAGGAGGGCGAGTTGCGTTACTTCGTCAACATCTACGTCAACGGGGAAGACATTCGGTTCGACCATGGCTGGGCACCGCCATCAAATCCGGCGATGAAGTTAGCATAGTCCCGGCGGTGGCGGGCGGCTAAACGCCGGCCCACTGCGGGCGTTTCTGAACTGGGCTTGCCGTTTCGGGTCTCATCCAGATGCCCCGGTTATCAACCGAGCGCGCCAACTCCGGTTGCACTCGCGGATATGGTGCGCAATGCGCGAAACTTGAACGACGTGTTGTGACCGGCGCGACGGTGACGCCGTGAATCTGTCCGTCCAAACAACCTGCAATTCCTGCCCGGCGACATCCAGCCGGGCTTTTGCATGGCAATCCAAACCGCGCTGGTATACTGGCCGCACATCCCAACTTTGACGAATTGCGTTGACTGGAGGCATTTTCGATGGCTGATCCAATCAAGATTTCCATGCGCGTTCCCGGCACCTCGCCCATGTCCGAGTTGCTCGACATGATCAAACAGGTGGAGGCCGCCGGCTTCGACGGCGCGGGCATACTGGACAGCCAGATGATTTGCCGCGACACCTTCGTCACGATGGGTCTGGCCGCCAACGCCACCAGTTCCCTAAACCTGTTCCCGGCGGTAACCAATCCCTTCGGCCGCATCCCCTCCGTGCTGGCCGGCGCTGCCCAGACGGTTGCCGAGATTGCGCCGGGCCGCACCAAGTTCATCATCGGCACCGGCTACACCTCGGCCAGCACCATCGGACGACGCCCGGCCACGCTGCGTCAGATGCGTCGGTGCATCATCGAGGTCAAGTCGCTGTTGGCCGGCGAGGCTGTGGATTTCAACGGAATGTCCAATCGGCTCGACTTCGCCGGCAGCGACGGAGGCCAAGGCGTTCCGGTGCTCATGGCAGCGTCCGGCCCCCGTTCCCTGGAACTGGCGGGCGAAGTCGCCGACGGCGCGCTGGTGCTGGTAGGCTACACGCCTGGCATCATCGGCAAAGCGCTGGAGCACCTGGAAACCGGCGCCAAACGCAGCGGTCGTACGCTGGATGACCTCGATGTGGTCTTTGCCGTCAGAACCTGCGTCGCCGATTCCATCGACAATGCGCGCCAAATGGCCCGTCCGGTGTCAGTGCATTGGGGATTGATGTGGGGTGGACCCAACTGGTTGCCCTATTCCGGACTGGACATTCCCGAATACGAGATACCGCAAGCCGTCCGCGACGTTTATCCCGACCTTGGCCATGCCCCCAACTGGGATGAAGCCATCGAGTCGACCAAGTTCGTCAGCGACGACGTGAATACGCAATTGTGCGACGCCATGGGCCTCATCGGCACGCCCGAACACTGCACCCAGCGCATCACCGAGATGGCCCAGCACGGCGTAACCCAACTCTACCTGATGCCCTGCCTAACCTTCGCCCCGCCCCAGGCCGAAGTGGACGCCTTCGGTCAGCACATCATCCCAGCCCTGGCCGCCGCCGGCGTTGGGGCGTAGCCCTGCTCAAACCGTTTCACGGGTATGGCGGCAATCTGGTCGCCAACGGTAGTCTGGTCGCCAACGGAAATATGGTCGCCCAGGGAGAGACGCTAACCAGCTTGTCAACGGCGAACGTTTAGCTCTAAAGTGCTGTATCAGCCCCGCAGTAGTGTTGGGGTAGTGGATACGAGGAAGGGCGATGCTACCAATAATGTCGCCGTGGACAACTACCTTCGACGACTTTGTGGCCTCCATTGAGGAGTCGGCAATCATCGCTGCCCCGTTTATCACTCAAACAGGTGTGCAACGGTTGGTAAAGGGACTTCAATCGAAACCGTCGGTGAATTTGGCGGTTTTGACGAGCCTTAACGCGCATAGCCTCACCGAAAAGTTATGCGATAGCGGGGCATTGTCCTGGTTGTGCCGGGAGGTTCCAAACACAACCGTAAAGCATATCCGTTACCTTCATGCCAAATCCTATGTCGCTGATGGCCACACTGCAATCGGGACCTCCGCCAACCTGACCGGAGGTGGGCTATCGGGGAATTACGAACTGGGAGTGGCTATCACCGACACTCATGCTGTGAGTGAAATTGCTGGGTATCTGCATCAGTACGCCAATCTGGGCGTGCCGATTCCTCCCGGCGCGCTGGTAGAGCTGAACGATTTGGCTCAACGCGCTCAAGGCCAGCAGCGGGCTGACCAGGCAATTCCTGACAACACCAAGAGTGAAATCGAGGCGATACTCAACGACATCAACGAAAAACTTATCAGGTTGCGCGTTGATACCATCTCATCCTCGGCCAATACCAAAGAGTCGATCACGGGCCAGTTTTGCCTGGCTGTTGAGTTGGCGCTGAGCCAGCACGGGCCGATGCGTACCCGCGACCTCAATCCGGTTGTGCAGATGCTGCTCTCAGAGTATTGCGACGACAAGGTGGATCGAGTCATCAACGGCGTGTCATTTGGCCGAAAATGGAAACACCATACTCGGAACACCCAACAGCAACTGCAGCGAAACGGGGTTGTCGTCCCAGAAGATGGCTTCTGGCGGCTGTGTTGATCAGGACTGAGTCTCCATGACTCAACGAGAAAACATGACCCAACGAGAAAATCGGCAGTCCCTGGTGGACATTATCAACTACGATTATTTTTGGCCCGACGCCGGTAGCGAAGACGCCGTTTACGGTTTCACACATAGCAACGAAGTCCTCGACATTTGCGCTGGCATGATTCCACCCCAAGTGGTGACGCCGGTGGAAAAATCGGTTCTTGAAGACGCGCTGTCTGAATACATTGAGCGGCGAGACATTAGCGCCGCCGACGCCGCCCGGATTCGAGCGTGGCTCGACCGTATGCCCGACGAAGTCGCTATAATCGAACGAGAGTCAGGGTCTGGCATCAATTTTTCTGCTTGAGACGCCCACCATGCCCACCAATCCCGAAAATCCCCACACCCTCTCCGGCCTGCCTATTGGTCCGCTGTACACCCCCGATGGCCTGGCGGCATCGGGTTTCGACCCCGCCGCCGACCTTGGTGAGCCGGGTCAATTCCCCTTTACCCGCGGCGCCTACCCTGATATGTACCGGGGTCGGTTGTGGACCCGACGCCAGATTGCCGGTTTTGGGACTGCCAGAGCTACCAACGAACGCTATCGGTTCCTGTTGGATCACGGCCAGACCGGGCTCAGCACCGACTTCGATCACCCGACCCTCACCGGCTACGATTCGGACCACGAGTTGGCCGAGGGCGAAGTGGGACGCCTGGGGGTCGCAATCGACACCGCCGCCGACATGAGCGAGCTCTTCGACGGCATCCCCCTGGACCAGGCCAGCGTCTCGTTGACCATCAACCACCCCGCCATCGTGCTGCTTGGTATGTTCCTCCATGTTGCCGAAACCCGCGGCACACCCTGGCCGTCCCTGCGCGGTACCGTCCAGAACGATTCTCTCAAAGAGTTTCACGGCCAGAAGACCTTTGCGCTGCCGCCCGGCCCTGCTCTCAAGCTCACCACCGACGTGGTGGAGTTCTGCACCCAGCACGTCCCCAACTGGTACACCATCTCCATCAGCGGCTATCACACCCGCGAAGCGGGTTCCGACGCCGTGCAGGAGTTGGCCTTCACCGTCGCCCAGGGCATGGCCTACGTGGAATCCGCCATGCGACGCGGCCTGCCCGTAGATGCCTTCGCCCCCCGCCTGTCCCACTTCTTCGGCGTGCACAACGATTTCTTCGAGGAGATTGCCAAGTTCCGCGCCGCACGACGCATGTGGGCCCATATCATGCGCGACCGTTACGGCGCAACGCGCCCGGAGTCGATGCGGATGCGCTTCCACACGCAGACCCTGGGCTCAACGCTGGTGCGGCAGGACCCGCTCAACAACATCCTGCGCGGCGGGCTGCAGGCGCTGGCGGCGGTGTTGGGCGGTACCCAGTCGCTCCACGTCAGCGGCTACGACGAGGCCTACGACATCCCGTCGGAAGAGGCCATGCGTATTTCCCTGGCCACCCAGATGATTCTGGCCAACGAAAGCGGGGTCGCCGCTACCCCCGACCCCCTGGGCGGCGCTCCATATCTGGAAACCCTGACCAGCCAGCTGGAAGGGGCGGCCAACGCCTACATCGAGCGCATCGACGAGATGGGCAACGGCAGCATGCTGGATGGAATGCTGGAGGCCGTATCCAACGGCTACATCGAGAGCGAGATTGCCCACGCGTCCTACCGCTACCAACAGCGGGTGGAATCCGGCGACTACACCATCGTCGGCGTTAACGACGAATACCGGGAAGACGCCACCTCTGCCGGCGCGCTGGAGCTGTTTGAGTTCGACCAGGGAGAGGAAGACCGCCAGATCGCGCGACTCCACGACGTTCGACGCTCACGCAGCGAGGCCGATGCTGCCGACACGCTGCGTCAAATCGTCAAGTCCGCCCGCGACGATGCCAACCTGCTGCCGGCTATCATCCCGGCCGTAGCCGCCGGCGTTACCGAGGGCGAGATTATGGGCGCGCTCCGCGACGAGTGGGGCGAATACACCGACCCGGGCGTGTTTTAGGTACAACGCTAACGGTAAGGTGCCTGTGATGGGAAACGCGGACACGCCAGCCGGCCACCGGATAAACTCCAGATTGGGCCTAATGGCCAAATGCATGGAAGGATTGCACGCCCGTTTAGGGATGTCGCCGTTGTTCGTTTCGCTGGAATCGATTGAGGAAGATATTACCGTAGTACCAGTCACCCGGTTCTGGACGGAAGCGGATGCAAACGCGCTTTGGGAAACTGTCGCGCTAAATTTAATTAACAACAACGTCGGGCCAGCCAATGTTTGGCCTGAAGTTGACGGGGTTTTTGAGGAACTGGCCCTAAATGCGGCTCAGCATTCTGGCTCGCAACAGGGGAGCTACGGTACTGTGGAGATAGACGTTAGCGACGATGGGATCGTGTACATTATCGGGATCGCTGACGCCGGCATCGGCATACCGGCATCTTTGCGCGGCAATTTGGAGTACGCATCCATCGCAAATGATGAAGACGCAATTTCTCGGGCCACGGAGTTGGACGTAACGGGTACAATGGAACCTCGCGGCGCCGGCTTACACCACGTAATTGAAAAAGTGCGAGCGTTTGGCGGTGAGTTGACCATTATTTCGGGTGAAGGCTATTTGATGGTTAAGGGCGGACAAGAGCCTATCCTTGGCCGAATGGTTGATTTGGTTAGACGCCCCTATCAAGGGACGACCGTCCTGGTAGCGTTACCAATTCCGGCGATGAATACATCTGATGGCGACGATTGATTTGTACAGGCATTCTGGAACCCAGATGCTGGGAACCCGACCAGCTGCACGGGCGATAGAGCCGGCCATCCGGGCGGCATCATCTGACGGGGTGATTGCTCTCGACACCTCCGGAATCCTCCGGATTGGCGTCTCTTTCTTCGATGAGGCATTGCTCATTCTTAACGAACTAATTGCC